AGATGCAGAGATGCAGATCTTTGTGAAGACCCTGACGGGCAAGACCATCACCCTTGAGGTCGAGCCCAGAGACACCATGGAGAATGTCAAAGCCAAAATCCAAGACAAAGAGGGCATCCCACCTGACCAGCAGCATCTGATATTTGCCAGCAAACAACTGGAGGACAGTAGGACTCCCTCTGACTACAACATCCAAAAAGAGTCCACCCTGCACCTGGTGTGTGGCCTTCAAGGTGCAATCATAGAGCTGTCCCAGTGCCAGCTTGCCCAGAAGTACAACTGTGACAAGATGATCTGCCGCAAGTGCTATGCCTGCCTGCACCCCTGTGCTGTCAACTGCCGCAAGAAGAAGTGTGGCTACACCAACAACCTGCACCCCAAAAAGGTCAAGTAAAGCTCAGCCAGTCCCTCGTCTAGAAAGGTACCACCTGTCCAAAGCCTGCAGCCTTGGGCCCTGAATAATAAATAAAAGACAGAAATCAACTGTCACACTCTGGAGGCCAGAAGTCCAGGATCAAGGCATCAGCATGGTTGGCTTCTTCTGAGGCCTCTCTCCTGGGCTTGCGATAGTCATTGACCCACTGTGTCTTCAAAGCTGCTCCTCAGTGGGTGAGTTTGTTCCCTCTGTGCTGAGCTCTTCTTTGTCTTCAGATAGTCGTCTGGGGCCAGGTGACCTTGTTTCACCTTAATTTCCTCTTTCAAGGCCCTGTGAAATGGATTTGTGAGAATGTAGTTCCAGCTATCAGAAACAGTGAGGCTTTGATTCCTTCAACGGAATAGGTGTCTGGTCAGGAGGAGAGGAAGATAGCAAGCTTCCCAGCAGTAAACCCAGCGTGAGCTTCTTGGAGGGAGGGTGTGGAGGAGGAGGTGAGGGAAGGGACACTGTAGAATTTGCAGGGCTCAAAGCCTGATTTCTTCAGCCTGGAGACACCACACACACACACACACACACACACACACACACACACACCAAGAAAAATCCAATTTGTCTCACTCTGGCCTCTTTCTTTTTCCCCAGGGATGAGTCTACTTATAGCTCCTTAGTTTTCCCATCTGTTAAGTGGGAAAAATAAAACAGGGATCTCATGGCTCCCCACGGGATGCAGGCGTATGCCACTTTAGCACTGAGACTGCAAATGTAGACTGGTTTTCTCCTTCCTGCTAATAAGAAGCTGTCTTCCTTCCAGAAAAGAGTACTGACAAACTTGCATTTTCTAAGGATCAGAAAGCCAGGTTTGGGTTTGAGCTATTCACTCACTTACGATGAGAGATTATTCTAAAAAGACTTTGCAGCTTAGTCTAATTGGGTAATTGGGATGTTTCCAGATGAAATTCGACTTGTATTTTTAAAAATCCACTTTGAAGAACTGGTTGCCATGGTGCCACTCTGCTGACAAGATCCCTCATGCTCCCCTTCACAGCGATAATGGGCTTCTGTTTATTCTAAGTCTCAGGTTACCCACCTGGGCATCCGGAGGATGCAGGGTGTGAGCCCCAAGGAAGGGCGAAGTTGTTTCTGGGCTTTCCTAGAGGCAGAGGAAAGGTGTGGATCACAATGTAAGGAGCATTTCATTGTGGGATGGGAGGGCTGTGGCCTCACCCAGGCTCAGCTGGCCCCAAGGGACTTCCCAGACCACTTCCCAGCTGGGCACTGGGAGCAGAGAAAGAAAGCCCTGCGCATTTGCCCGGTGTGAGCTGGGTGGCTGCTCTGGGACAACAGGACTGATTCATACACATTTGAGGGCAAATAGGTGTCTGGTAGGTGAACAGCCTTTATCTTAAGACATAACATAGTCTTAAAGTTAGGATTCATATTTTTTTGTGGTGTCACTGCGTTACATTGGAGGAGGCCTTTGTTCTGAGTCAAGTTTTCAACCCAGTGGACACGATTCTTTCCAATCATCCTTGAACTTCTTGGACCCGAGAGTTTATTATAAGAATGTGAAACATCTTCCCCAGATGCAGTATTTTGGCTTCATTAAAAGTTTTTCTAGTTCCTCTTCAGTCATGTCAATATTTACCTTGGACAATGCTTTGTATCCTTTTGTTTATAATTCCAGAATTCTCCAAGACAAACTGATTATTCATGACTTTCTGGCCTGAGTTACAATTTAAACATACCTCAGGTTGACATTTTAAGAGGATGAATCCCGTAAGCTATTTCCTCTACGGTAGATTCATAATTTGTATGAATCATTTCACGCCCCGTATTCTATCTTCTCTCTGTTGTCTTCCAAGCATGTCTTTATTCTTAGTATATCAGCATGTGAACCTTTTCTTACTCTTCTTTTAAAGTCACAGGGTGCCTTTCTTCTGCCAAAGATGCTTTTAACACAACGTGTTGCGCCCACATTCTTTGAATGCACCCATTGTTTCCCTAGACAGCACATGCTTCCCCGCTGCCCACTCCCTCTTACTGAATTTCTGATCGCTAATCAGAGGACGCAGGAGACGTGCCCTCCCTGCCTAAAGCCCACATTTTATCCCTTCCCATCAAGTATAAGGAGGGTTTAGTGGCAACAGGCCTCAGAAAGCTCTAGCATATTTATCCTGTGTGTACCAAGCCGCCATTTTTCCTTCCTCACGAAGGGTTTCACAGTTCTGCGCATCTCCTAGGTCCCAATGTGTGCATAATAGCTGCAGAACACTTTAACTTTACTAAGCAGTTCACATACACTATTACATTTGATTTTTATAGCAACATTGTGAGGAAGACGCAGGGGATTCAAGTAACCTGTTTAAGATCACAAAGTCAGTTGAATAAGAAGAGCTTTTGGCCTTGAACTATGTATATTAATAAACTATTTGGACTTACACAGGTATTTAAGTTACTCTAAAATATTGTACCTTGTCTTGATTTGAAGAATCATGTTCTTGTTGCCATTGCTTGAACTACCCAACTTCCCCCTCGAGACTAGCAAAACTCTTGCCATGTTTTAAACCCCCCATGTCTAGGCATAGACTTCCTCTTTCTCTGTGCTCCATAACACTCTTAAAATTACATTAACAAGTTTACCAGAATGTCTGCTGTGTTGAACAAAGAATAGTTATGCTATCCTCTATCCTACCTCTTCTCACACTGCATCTATATTGCTGGCTGCTGCACCCTCAGTACGAAGCTCCAGGTTGATTCTGAACGAACTGTCGTGGAATAAAAGAGCAATGCCCATTGCATCTTCTGCTTGATGTAGTCTTAGGTGCTTGGACTCAAGAACAAAAGCTGGAGAGAGTATCAAGCAAGGTCCAACATTTGGGGGCATTTCTAAGTCTAATTTACAGAATACCAGATGAGTGTTAGTAGCGAAAGTGCCTGTTTATTTGTCAGTAAAACATCCCCTTTTCTTTCCTTTGCCATCACTTTTCCTTTGGGAAAGTCTGGTCACCTTTGGTCAGGGTCTTGGGGACTTTGCCCCTGCTGATTAACTAGGAGTAGGTATGATAACATATTAAGTAGTCCTGCAACCACCAAAACACTGTGACGGGCACACAACCTGAAAGGAAACTCTGAGGACAGTGGATCTTTTTTTCCTTGTAAATATTTTAAGCAACAGAAGCAAGACTGAATCTATAGGTCTGTCCTCTGGGAACTTATAGATAATTCAATGAAGCTAACACAGAACAACTTCAGCCAAGATACAATGGTACAATAAACAAATAATGTAGACATTTGAGTACTTGTATTCAGCAGTTCTTGAAAAAAAATACCTCTTAAATTTCCAAAGTTAGGGTCACAAATACATTTCCTTTCTGGACATCAGTAGTTTGAGTTATAGCTCTGTTAATCACCAATAACTGATAATGTTTTACTAATTCAGTAAGAAAAGAAACACCACACCATTTTCATTACTGTATTAGTAGTTTTTATTCCTTTGTGGCTTGGCTGGAACTTGTTCATGTGAGTTTTGAACCTATGTAAATTGTCTTCAACACTTTACCTTAGAAGGAGTAAGCAAACATGTGCTTGACTTTTTTCTAAGTTTGATGCCACGTGGTCAGATTGCTGCTTATGTATCTGTTCATCGTTGAGCTGAATACATATTTGAGATTTTTCTTGTGGGAATGCTGATGGTTTCTGCTATGATTTGTGTCTAGTTGTCTCCCCCAAATCCTCATGCAGTCATGGGGACTTCTAGAGTTTGTAATGAACTCATGATCCACTGGGATTATGGGTGTGAGTGCTGCTGGGATTATGGGTGTGAGTACTGCACCCAGCCCGGGGCAGAGAGCCTGAACCAATTTAAGAGAGACAGACTTGCTCTCTGTGGCCGTTGTTGCTGTTACTCTTCCCTTTTGCTCTCTGCTCTTTGCCGCCACCATGAAATGTTACTTTCTACGATGTGCCACTCTGTCTTGGAGCCAGCAGAGTATGGACTGAAATCTCTAGTAATTATGAGATAAATAACCTCTCTTTCCTTCATTTTGAATGTTGGGTATTTGTCTCAGCAAGGAGAGAATAGCTGAGACAGTTTCAAAGAGGTTTGCTGTCGCTATTCCCACCCCTACCTGTAATTCTTCAGGAGTAGACTGTCGGAGGAGAAATGCACTGGAAGCCTGAAGATGCTCTATTCGGAGAGATGTGGATGGAGCTCTTGAGTGCCTGAAATCAGAAAGTTAAAACTGAGTCTGACTAAACCTTATGCTCAGTTTTGCTCAGGCAGACAAGACCTTTGGATTCTCTTTGGAGACACCTTCCTGGGATATCGAAAGAAAGCCCAGGTGACTTACATGCATGACTGGCAGACCCTGGTCTTGGAATGCCGTGATGGCTCCAAGCATAGATCCTTTTGTCCTTTGAGATGAAAGATGGAAGCTCTTCATTCCCAGAAGCCCTGCATGAACACCACAGAAGCTCCTTGTGGTGATGGCGTGCAGTAATCAATAATCCTGCCAATTACCTCATACATAGGAGTCAGGAAAGGCATGTTAGTTGTTCAAGCTGGGAGTAGGAGTTTCATTACTAGTGATCTAGTCCTTTTGATAACATGCATTCCTGGAGATAATACTTGAGTGTGTCACTGTACAAAGGACAATATATTAAAGCAATGTTTTATTTCAGATTTGTTTCTGAACAAAGCCATATCATTAAAATAATAGAGATGATCTTTGTCACCACATTCAGGCTACAACATTCAAAAATCTTAAGATAATGAGATTAGCTTCTGATTACTATTTAATTGCAAAAATATAAATTGATGAATTTAAAATGGAATATATGTCGTAAACTTTTATAAACTTCTCAATTATACATAAAATATTTGTATATCACTTATAAATATATTTGTCTGTTATAATTTAAACAAATGATCCTGATTAATTTGCTGATTATGAAAACTATTTTATTTCAAGATTAAATTGATTGTGCATGACATAGGATTTTGAAGATTTTGTAGGAAA